TTTTACTAATTATGGTTATTATCCACAACTTGATACTTTTAACTTTTTAAAAGCTGATAATCTTGTGGCAAAAGATTTGGAAAATCATTTGTCAAAGCTACATGCAACAATAAAGGTGTAGTTAAAAGAAGCTCAAGAACAACAAAAGATCAATGCAGATGTCTATCGAAAGGAACAACCATCATTCCACATAGGTGACAAGATATGGTTACTTCATCACAATATCAAGACCACTTATCCTTGTGACAAGTTGGACTATCAAAGGCTTGGACCATTTTCTATTTCTATACAAATCAATCTAGTTGCATATTATTTATACCTACTGTCACGGATATACATATAATTACCTACAAGAGTCGATGAAAGTATGTAAAAGTAGATAAAAGTAGGTTAATCGTGTAATATCTTCTAGAAAAGCTTCTTAGAAGCTTCATAGACGCTACTTTGACCTTAAAGGAGTCCATAGTTGACTTTTAGGTTAGAAACTTGGTCAACAAGTTAGCCATGTGCCACACATGTTGGTAGCTTGAAGGACAAGCTAACTACGTAGTCCACTCATAGAAAACTTACCTTGCAAGCAAAGACATGTGGCCTAGAAAGTCAGCACATATTGGAGGTCTTATAGAATATCGCCACGTGGCTTCTAATTAGATAGTATATATAGAGGCAAGAGTGAAGCTCTCTTCACTCTTGTCAACTCTTTTCTTGCTTCTAGTCTAGTTTCAAGGGTCTCTAGTTTTCTTGTCTTTTGGCAATAGCCATTCTAATTTCTCTTTTCAATATACATACTTATTATTCATATTTTGTTACTTTTCTTTGAGTGAAGGCTTACTTGTCTGAACTATTTTTTCATCGAGTTCTTGTCCTTGACACCTACTGGAGTCAATAAAAATCTATCCAATATTCTATGTGTCTCTTCTTAAATCATATAAGACAATGGGCATACTAAAAAGAAAATAAGTTTTACCTCCTCCTATAGAAGTGGACAATAATAAAGAGTTCGAAGTAGAAGAAGTCTTAGATTCAAGGCAACACCAAAATAAATTAGAATATCTTGTCCATTAAAGTGGATATGATATTAGTGAACGCACATGGGAGCTAGTAAAGAAACTTGTAAATATAAAAAGATAATGGAAGTTTTTCATCGACAACATCCATCAAAATCAAGATGAAAACCTTACTTATAAAAAAAAATAAGATCTAAGCAAGATAACATTCTACTTTTAATCCTTGTTTTTAGCTTCTTTGTAGTTGTGACATTGAGGAGATGGAGAACCAACAACAAGCGGATTCGACTTAAGAACCTTCATTTGCTAACATGTTGAATAAGACATTATGATTGTCACAACCTTTAAGATAACGCAATCGAGATGAAGATCCTAAAAAATGACATGTTTTTTCTTGAATAGATGGCAAGCTATAATGCGTTTGGTATCAGGACCTTGGAAGGAACTCTCAATGTTTGGTGATTTTAGTAGATGTAGAAACAACTCATGATAGTATTCCAAATATTTTATTTGAACGAAGTTATGAAGGCCTCAACAAGGATCAAATAACTGGGTGGTCTTTCCACCTTGGTATGGAACGCTATCGATGGTTGAGAGGTCCTATCAATCATCTTTGAAGAGAACAAAGATCAGAGTATGTAACAAATATAATTTGCCATATCTTAGACTTCTTCAATATGTGATCACCGCTCCTCATAGAACTCATCCTTAGAAGAGGAGGTAATGTCTTAGACATATATTTATTGTAATTGTTACCTAGGTGATATGAATAAGTAGAAGTAGATTAATTTCATAATATCATCTAGAAAAGCTTCCTAGAAGCTTCATAGATGTTGCTTTGACTTTACATGTGTTTATACTTGATTGATAGGTTATAAACTTAGTCAATAAGTTAACCACGTGCTACACATGTTGGTAGCTTGCGGAACAAACTAACTATGTGGTGCCCACATAGAAAACTTGCCTTGCAAGTTAACATACGTATTGTGCAAAGTCAACACATTTTTGGAGGTCCTACAGTACTTTGCTACATAGCTCCTAGGTAGATAGTATATATAAAAGCAAAAGTGAAGGCTTCTTCATTCTTATCAACTCCTTTCTTACTTCTAGTTTGGTTTCAAGGGTCTCTAGTTTTCTTGTCTTTTAGAAATATCTATTCCAATTTCTTTCTTAATATATATATTTAGTTATTTCTACTTTATCATCTTTTTTTGAGAAAAGTCTCACTTATTTATTTATTTTTATCAAGTTCTTGTCGTTGACAATACCTCAACAACTTTTTGACCAACATCATCAAAGATGTGGAGATGCAATATATTCCATTCTACTTTTCACAACTATATATCATTGCAAAATATTCATGGCTATGGCAAATAATTTTGCAACATTGTATCTAAATAAAAAAGTTAAAGATGAAGTTCGAGAAGAATGCAATGACACAATATTTACTTACTTCAAGAAAAATAAAGATTTTTTCAGCTTATACAATGACTCAAATGTAAATATAAAGTATATACTTTATTATAAAGGAGGCATAATAGTACACAAAATATATAAATATGCATCAAAAATAAAGGTTTAAAATCTTTAAATGCATCAAAAATAAAGGTTTAAAATCTTTAAATGCATCAATTATTTGCTTAGTTTATTTATAAGATATATGATGGAATTTTTCGAAGAAGTATAAGATTGCATCTACCTCCTAAGCTAAGAACATCAACTAATATGTCACCTCAAAATTAAACAAATATAGATCATATGCACATCTAAAGAAAAAATGTAAGATAATAAATAGGATAAAATATAAGCTTCAAACATCTAACAAATAAACAATTGTAATACATTTGTAACTTGATGTGACAAAGATTGAAGCTAGCAAATCGTAATGATAATAAAGTAGAACTAATAATAATACAAAGTTTAGATAATATAACTAAGGCTAATATGGAGGACAAATTTTCTTTGATATTTGGATATCTTGCTTGATAGTTGGCTACCGTACTATAACCACACCTTGACAAGATGCTATTTAATAGCATTTTTGCATAGAAAGTTGTCTATTATACATTTGTAAGTAAACAATCATATTGTGATTGAGTTTGATAACTATGTCACATTGTAATCTATGCCAATCAAGTTTGCTATACTAATAAGATTTACAAATTGAGTCTCCTCAAAACTTGCAACAAAAGTCATCTGCCACTATAGAGGTTTGTTCTACAATTAAATCAAACAAACTAGTCTTAACTATGTTTCAAGTAGCTAAATATAATTATGTTTGTATTCATGATAAAGTTAATAAAGAAAATATATTTAGACTATTTGATCCTAAGATTTAACATAATCATTATATATCTACTACTTTTGAGATCAAAATAGGGAGTCTACTATTAAAAATTGTAGAAGTAGTCATTCTTGCAATATGGTGTGAAAACCAAAACTTCTTGGACCATTGTCAAGTTAGAAGTACAAAGGCAAAAGAAGCCTCTTTTTAATTTATTGCTTATTTGGATTTTGTCATTTAAGATATTGGTATTGAGTCTCTTTAATTAAACCACAAATATTCTCTAATTGGATTTACTACCAATAAAGCATACAACAAAAACATATTCTTGTATATTTTTTTTTTCTGCTACAACAACTTTTTCTAATACATGTATCTATTATTGTTATATCTTCACCATGAATCCTATATAGTTTCTTGTAAAATCTTGTAGAAAAGCCTTGCTCTCCTTAAATTTGGTCAAGTTGATATATGTTCTTCTATTGTGGGCTTAAAGTATTTTAGCTATTGATATAATATACACTTCTATCATGGTCTCGTGGATGTGGGCATAGTATTCTTTTCTACCTTTGCTTATATATCCCAATTTACTGCCAAAGTAGATTATATTTACCTAATTATTGAAGATTATTGTAAAATTAGAAATTTTAATCCTAACTCTTGTTTCTAATTATTATTGACTACGTCTCTTATAATGAACTACTATAAAGGTTGATCCTTCATAAACAATCATAGCTTAAGATTTAAAAAAAAAAATGATGAGAAAGTTGTTTTAAACAAACTACACTAGGGCTTCCAACTTGTGTTGTTGTAGACCTTGATTGTATTTGCAAACAGAGTTGTATTATAGTACCTTGCCTATTTAGTGTAAATTACAAAGCTCCATTGCTCTCAATCAAAAAGATGAGCTTTAAAAGAATGCATGGATATAAAGCTTTTTGTTTCTAAAAGAAGGATTGAAATAATTTTGACAACATATGTTAAATAGATACTAATTATAAATTATTTTATTATTGCAATCATAATAATAATAATCAATAAATTATTTTATATACGAAAATAGCCTAACAACACCAAAAAAAAACTTTGCAAAACAATAAGAAGCCACATGACTTTAATACACATTAAGAAAGATTGAATTGTGTGGTAATAATAAAGACAAACAGTTGTACCTAGGTTAGCAGAATCATGCGAAGATTTTAAATCCTGATATTACAAAATTTTACAGAAATAAATCTTTTTAAATCATTTTCAAAAAGTACATGAAAAAATAAATAATCCTCATTAGTTGAAAATTAGATGTTCTTTCTGGATAAAAAAAACTTCTACTTGCAATGTTTTACATCAAGTTAATAAATAAATGTATACACATGTATATAATTATACCATTATTTTATTAGCCACAAATGTTTTTAATATATATATATGTATATATATATATATCAATAATATGAATATATATATATATATATATATATTCACACACATACACGAAGGGAATTCTATAAATAAAAGTTTAAAAAAATCCCCTTAAAATTCCAAACCAATAACAACCTGATGCAACTAGAACGAAGAAAGCCAAGATCCGAAAAGCGGCAAGAGAGCGAAGGATGAGAAACATCCGTGAGATCAGAGGGGGGATGAATGAAATCCCAGGGCCGAAACAGGAACGTTAAAGGCGGCGTTCACACTGGGGCAGGGAGGGGTTCCTCCGATCCAAATACTCAGGAAGGAATACACCACTATTCCCCCGCTCGCTCCCTCGCTCGCTCATCCCCTGTTTCTGTTTCTTCTTCAAGGCTCCTCCTCCGCTTCTGTTGATCATCTCTCTCGCTGCTGCTGCTGCTCCATTACTGCTCCTGCTTCTGCCACCACGATCTGCATCGCTCTTTTTCTCTCGTCACCATGGCGGTACTTTACCACTGCCTTTTTCTCTAAGTTTTTCAGCTTTTATTCTATGTCTTCTCCTTTTGTATATATATCTTGTTTCGCAGTGATTAAGAATGCTTATGATTGCGGTGTAGGTGCGCGGATGTATTGTATCTGGTGAGGTTTGTTTATGAGAGTATTTCTTGTAGGTGAGGGGTGGCGTGAGTCTTTGTGAGGTTGTGGAGATGGGTCTTGCTTGTAGATTTGGTTTTTGGGATGGAATGGTGTTTTGGGTGGGTTCGAAGGAGGGGAGTGGAGAGGTGGGGATGGGAGTGGAGATGAGGGTAGGGAAGAGAGAGGGAAGAAGTGGGTGAGTGCGTTGGTGTTTAGGGTTTTGAGATCGAGGGTGTTAATGCTGTGTTAGGAATCGTGTGTTCAGGGAGTTCATACTGTGCGAGTGAGTAATGTGTCGCTTAAAGCGAATGAGCACGACATTCAGGATTTCTTTTCTTTCTCCGGGGAGATCGAGCACATCAGGCTTCTCTCGTAAGGTTTTCTCTCCTTTTGCAGCAGATCTTTCGTCTTTTAATTTATCTAGTGAGTCTGGACTTCAGATCTCAATGATCCTGAAATCTATCAAGATGGCGTCATCTGTTCATGGATCGTATTTCTAAATTGAATTTTGTTTTTTTAGTCATATAGAGGGATGGAGTTCTAGGATCGTAGAAATCGGGGCGTAGCGATTAGACTACCAAGAGGTTGACATCTTGCAACTGAAGTACTCCTGTAGGGAGTTCGTCCAATGATTATCGGGATGGATGCACGTTCAATGTATTGTTGATGAATTAGATAGTCGTTACAGTCGAATATTTTCTTCTCCTAGTGGGGTGGTTTTTGGTTCACAACGGGTTCTCTCCTAGGATCTGAAATCGCTTACGTGAGAGTGGGTACATGACGAGTATCCAGCGAGTTTTTACGACCATTGTTTCTCGACCCACGCGTGTGCAATAAAGCCCTTGTAATTCATGCTTGAACACAAATTAAATGCACGAATCCCATGAAAATGAATGGTGTGGATTTAAAATGATTACTGATCCTTACAATCAAAATAGTCCTCAGCTTAATCGCCCGTAATTTTCTCTTTAGATTCCTGATCCATCTATGCATCTGTAGGGATGGTGAATTGTCGCAGATAGCCTTTGTCACATTCAAGGAAGCCCAGGCTCTAGAAACAGCCCTTCTTCTCTCTGTAAGTCTTGAACTTCAAACCCCGGTTCTTGTCATTTTCGGCACATTGGTAAATAGGTTCTCGGTAATGGAGTCAGAATCCAGAGTAGTCTCTGAATTATGTTGTATGAAACCATCCTTGCATATGATGTCCGTCCCCAATTCGCTGAGCGCTGACGTGAAATTTGTTTTGCGTTGGCAGGGAGCCACTGTTGTGGATAAAGCAGTGACTATTGCTCCCGCAGATGAGTCGGAGAGACTTGCAACAAGTGTAGACAACGTTTCTCTAGATTCTACGAGCACCGACAAGCCTTCAGTATGTTCCTCACAAATCATTTTATGTTCTCGATAATGGTCATATTTAAATCTGCGTACTCGGTAGGTTGATGGGAGTGGTGGAATTTTGGTGTTTGATCTATTGGATTCCATGTCAAAAGCCGGTTCACCTGGGTAGTGTTCAGTATTGCCTGGGTTCAGTCATTCTTACTTTTCTAAGAGCAATTGATGCATTCTGATCTGTGACAGCCTCTTAACGTTCATTCATGCTGACCATAATGTTTCTTCACTCGTGTTCAGGATGCTAGCGCTCCCAAGCCTGTCACAAAGAGTGCTCAGGAAGCCTTCCAAAGTATGCTGGAGAAGGGCTACATTCTAGGAAACAATACCATGTCGAAGGCCAAAGCTTTTGATGAGAAGCACCAACTGACCGCCAACGCATCCCAATTAGCAGAGAATGCCAAAGCTAACGCGTCCCAATTAGCTGAGAATGCCAAAGCCAACGCGTCTCAATTAGCTGCTAACGCTAAGGCCAACGTTGTGAACATAGACAACAAAATTGGTATCTCCCAAAAGTTGAGTGCTGGTACCGCGGCAATCAACCAACAGGTAAAGGCGGTGGATGAGAAGTACCATGTCTCAGAAAAGACTCGAACAGCTCTCCAGGCCACAGAACAGAAGCTCAACGCCGCAGGCTCAGCCATCGCTAAGAACAAGTACATTCTCACAGGCACAACATGGGTAGTAGGTGCATACGCCAAGGTTGCCAAAACTGCCGAGGAAGTGGGCCAGAAAACATTGGAGAGAGTCGCCACTTTGAGTGGTGACCAGAAGGGGGCAAGCTCACCAAGTAACGCTTCTGAAGGCTTTGGTCCACCCCCTCCATACCCAGGTTCGGATGAGTCAACCTTAAAATCAACTTCTCCTCCAACTGACGATCAACCACAACCCAAACCTTCAGTTACTCAGTGAGATGGAGAGTTTTCTCTGCAATGAGAACTCAAGTCATTTCAATGGTTCGGTGGAACTGATCACCTACCTAGCTTAGAGAAGTCCACGTTGTTAATGCAATGTAGAACAGGATGTGAGGTCTCATGTACTTATATCTGCAGACTAGGAGCTGGGGACCCTCGTGTTCACCGCTTCAGGTGCGGTGTGGTAAGAAAAGACATTGTGAAGACGATTTCCTGTAGTACATGTCTTTGTGGGGTGCACTATTTTCATTCAGGTAAATTGTACCCAAGGGCAGATCAGAATAGGAGTGAAGCATGTAGAACGTTATCTGGGATTAGTTATTTGACGCTAGGACGTAAATGTAGACATCTGATTCCCTTCTACATTATCAATGAATGTCTATGGAAGTTGATGTACTGGTAAACTGGGTTTTGTATGTATCTATTGTGGCAAGTAAAGTAGAGATAGCAAATTGAGCGTGTTGTCCGGAAGTCTACTGCTAAGCTCACACTCACCTTAACAAGTACTCTACGAATTTACCTTTTATACATCCAAAACTCCACGCATAAGCTCTTCTCAATTCTCAAACGGGTTATACTCCTGGATGATATAAACTTAAAGTTGGTGATGACAACTGCTAAAATTTTCGCCCTGTAAGCTTATCAGCTACTTCTCTCAAACAATTTCCCAGAATATGTACTTGAAATACAGACTGATTATTGTGACAGTGAACAATTTTCTAACTTCAAATGCTTATTCATATTGAAATGTTGAAAATGGAACTTCATAAAGCTCACATGAATCTGTACATGTACAGTCTGATGGGTGGTTCACAGCTAGCCAACTGGTAATACTGCAGTGTCTTGTTGGTAAGATATTACTCTTCCATCGAATTGGAGCTGAAACAGCGAAGTCAGAATCTCCCTAGGTAACATTGCGTATTTCACAAGTGATAGCATTCACAACGGATTTCCAAAAACTTGATTCTCGAGAAGATGTGGCAGCCTAGGGCTACATGTCATATGCAGAACTGATTTGCATGCACACTGAGATCTAAAACATTCAAGCTTCAATATGCACAAAATATCACTTATGCTGAACACTTGAGCAGAGACTACTAAAAATATAATGTATAATGTGTCTCATTGCCTGGTAAGTCGAAGATTACTAACCTCGCCTGCCAAAATTATAAAAACCTGACTACCGAACGCAAGGCTAAACTGGGGAAACCATCCTTTGTTACATCTCTTCATCTATGGTCCTAATGAAAACCGCAATAATCTCCGACCGATTCAACCAGAGTGTAATATTAACCATTCCATCTATCCAATCTTGGTGGATCCCAAACAATAAGCTACCGCCACTCCATGCCTTCAGCGTCAGCTGGCACGGGGGGGGATCCACAAAACGCCTCGCACAAAAAGCGAAAGATCTGGTTTTGTTCAATATCTATCTGTCTAATAACATATGATAAGACAGGTGATCGGTGAGACGGGTAATTGTGACACCAAACCCATGACTTCAATTGCCATTATAACAGCCTCTTGATGAAGAAGCTAATAGTAAAATGTTCTCTGCTTTCATCGTCACCAATTTAGACGGATGAAAGACCTCTACAGAGCGAGTCAATAATGATGACTCCACCCAATCCAATGTTGCAATTGAATTGGCACACCTTCCTCAGAAAAAATTTAGTAATCTTAAATCCCAATTTCAGGTAAATTCCATCTACATGTACTTCAAATTATTCCTACAGGTGATTGAAACAAAACAGAAGTAACGTATAGATACTACCTTTCTAATTCGGATGCAATCGAATAAGCACAAGACCAAGACCCAGCCAGGGTCAGAATACTTCAGACGTGCCTACTGTTGGGCACACTGAATGCGTGGTCCTGAGGACTCCTCATCCTCATCGTAAGCCTCCTGCTGTTGTTGCTGTTTCCTTCTCATCTCGTCCTCAAAGTTCACATCGATTAGTGTAGTTTCTTCACACTCGTCAAGCTCCATGTCTGTCATTTGACTTGGTCTAGGAGGCAAAATTGTTTCCAAGGCTTTGCATTGGTCTGGTGTCAATCCACCAGACTCAGGGAACTCGACGTTAAAATGCAAAAATAGCCTGCCCTTCATGAAAGGCCTCTGGTAATGAGGCATACCCTCATCGTTGATAGCCTTAAATTGACCTGTCAATCGAAATACACAAAAACGTCAACCTACAAAAAGGTCTACACATGGAACCAGTAAACCAAATAAAATAAAAATAAACTATTGGAAAATGAAATTATGTTGAAGTAGCTAAATTGTACACCGAAACCCCCTGGAAGCCTTTCCCGGTTTCAGGAATCAATACCTGGCTTGATGATCTCCCCAGCATCAGACTTAATTAGAAGCTGTCTTCCATCCAAGTGAACCAAAGGAAATCGGAAACCACATAGAGCCTCTGTCAAGCTCAATGTGTGCTCCACAAACAAATCATCCCCTTTCCTCTTGAACTTAGGATGCTCCTTCAATTGCAACACGAACACGATATCTCCAGTCTGTGTGTCAGGCTGCTCAACACACACACACACACAGCAAACCGAATCCAACTCTCAGCGTGCAGCCAGTAAGTTATCAATTCCTACCAACATACCAATCTTAAAGGTCCATATATCCTAGAAACACAGAACACATAACCACATCCAACACCACCTTCAAACATTTCCTAGCAGAAGAATATCACCCTCCACCCACGAGCCTATGTGAACACATTACGAGTATACGTACCGCCTCGTCAGCCTCGCCTTGAAACGTGATCTTCTGTCCGTGCATCATGCCTTTCTCTACATGCACCTCCAGCAATTTCTTGTCCTGGACTACTTTCTGACCCTTGCACTGCCCACACTTGTCCTTCTCGCTGATTGTCTCACCTGAGCCTCTGCAGTCCGAGCACACATGCTGCATCTGCTGGATCATGTTGGGGCCCAATTGGCGAATTGAGACCTTCGTACCTGACCCTTGACACCCTGCACACCGACTGGAAGCACCTGTCTTTGACCCTTTCCTGCGCAATTTTGAAAGTTAATGTTAAAAACTCCGATGTAAACAGTGTCAAATTTCAGAGTTGAGAAGAAACTAAAGCCTACATTCGCCACAATGAAGAGCAACCAGAAAAGATCTGTTGTAGCCATGTGGGGCAAATGCACCCAGGTTATACTGCAGTTTCGGGACCCCGAAAGACTGCGTAGTGCTCTTACAAACTCAAGCTATTTCGTAACACTTTATCATGAAAAGTGTCCTGGACCACGGACTAGACCAGCATTCTCTACTCAGTGACGATAGCTAATGAAACCAGTGGTTTACGTCACCACAAACATATCTGATTCTGAGAAAGGAGTCATATTGAAAATAATAAAAGGTAGATTGACTTATGGTTCACGTACACATGTTCAGAAAGCGATGCAAAACTGATTGCGACGTTACGAAATCTACCGGTACTGTTCAATAATGAAATCCGACACATTACAACGAGCGGTCAGCCTTACCCTTTACACTTCTGGCAAATGACATTCCTTGACAAAGAGAGCTTCTTTGATGTTCCGTTGTAAAGATCATCAAGCGAAACTTTCAAGGGGTGCACTACATCTTCTCCTCTCCTCTGTCTTCTGCCACCCCTGCCACTGCTACCTACAGGAGGCGAGGTTGATAATTTCAGAAAACTTTGTCCCAGATAACTTCAGTTAGGTAATCTGAAGGAAACGTAACATTAACAATAGCTGATAATAATGATACCAAAAACAAAAAAACAAAACCAAAAAGAAGAGCATACCTCCAAACGGGTTGCTGGCACCACCGAAGAAAGACTCGAAGATGTCGAACGGGTTATGTCCACCACCTCCTCCACCCATTCCTTCTTTGAGAGCATCTTCACCATACTGATCGTATATTTCACGCTTCTCCGGATCACTTAGAACTTCGTAAGCCTGAGCAAGCTCTTTGAACTGCATATAGACGTCAGCGCCTTAGTACATTTAAACTAAATCACATACTCAAGACCCTTCAAGTCACCAAGTACAGAAGATTGCACAATCGCCTTAGGTTCCAAGGTGACAACTACCATCACAGCGTGCACACTTCACGTGTAGTAAAGGAAAATAGCTTTTCTTCTTGCGCAGGAATTAAAATCGAAAGAACGACAGACGTGTACCCTTCAACCTAGTAATCATCCTCCGCAACACAAAATCCACTAAAATAGTATCGATCCTGCTGTGGTTCCTCTAAAATCAGACATTTCCCAAAATTTCTCAAAAAATCACAACACTTCGACTCACACCCCCGCTACCCTCAATGCACAATACACAACACAGTCATGCACTTAGTTTCAAACCGCATGTGACGCTACCTTCTCTGGATCTCCGCCCTTGTCAGGATGATTCTTAATTGCTGCTTTCCTATAAGCCTTCTTAAGCTCATCTTGCGATGCACTCTTGGGCACCCCAAGGACATCATAATACTTAGAGTTATCACTTTTCTTCGAAGGCGCACGCCCGAACATGGTGGCTCGCTCTCTCTCTCTCTCTCTCGCTCTGAAAATCTAAGCAACTCCGCTAACCCCTCTGGCACAGACCACAAAACCAGCCCTGCGTTTCAATCAACCTCCACCAAAACGCGCCAAAAATGCACTTCCCTGGTGAAGTAAATAAGCAAACAAAAATCCAACGAACTTGAAGAGAATTGCAACGCTGTTGTTACTTCAACGGATCTTCCACTCAAAACGGAGTGTCGATCACGTGCGACGCAGCGCCCGACAGAGGCAATCCACGCATGAGGACGGCAACTCTCGTGGAGCTCACAATGGAAGCGAGACAACGTTAACCCTAATGAGGCCCCCCCTTCGGTCTTATGCTTCTGTCTCGTTTGCTCCAACAGTTTGGTCGAATTTCCCTTGACCCCTATTCACACTAACCCATTCGAAGCCATCTATGCCGTCCGTTGGAGCAAGCGCATAGGAACAGACGGCTGAGATGGTCCCTAGTGATCTAAGCCTTGGTCCAAACACGACCAATCGTGTCTGAATATCTTGTTCGTCGGAAGGATCGCATCTGACGGTGGAGAGCATAGCTACTGTGAAGAAGCCCCTGGATGGCAACTTGCCCGCAAGGTACGCGAATCATGTTTTGGAGGCATCATTTCGAGGCGGCACAGACAATTAACAGACAGAGAATTTCTTCGAGATTGAGTGGGCTTTGTTGGTAGTTGCAGTGAACTTTTTTCCAATTCGTTGCCGAGTTCTATGTGGGACTTCGCAACTGGTTGAAAATTCTGTGGATTTTGTATTCATCCCATGTTCGACTTTTCTGAGGAAATTCCTGAGGTAGTTTTTTTTTTTTTTTTTTTTTTTTTTTTTTCCCTCTCTCTCTCACAGACCCACTCGCACATGACTTCGGCTTTCATTTTGCTGGAATGAGTGTTGCACTGTTCGGAGGCTGCGTAACTTGCGAATGCTTCATCGAGTTTCAAGAGTGTTACATTCAAATTTCGCGGATTCGGCGGACTAAGACCCGGGCTGGGCGGACAGCGGTGTATATGACGAGCTAGTTAGCGTTTCTGGTTCCACATTCCATACCTTCAACATTTTTGTGACCTGCTGTCTCTTAACAATTCCACATTCCGTTTGCAACTTCAGTATGGTTTCGATGTAAACGGAACAAGACTAATGTGATAGAATATGATGCAAGATACTCTCATCATTTCATTTCGAAGTTTCCGAACCTTCCATGTGAACGAGTGGCAGCTAATGACCAAAATCATGAGCATCCATGACTACTGTATCCTCTTCTGTGTTGGACAGTAGACTAGAAAAAGAAACATACATGGTAGTAACTGAAGTAAAAAAAAAAAAATTAAAAAAAAAAAAAAGCAAACAAACAAACAAACAAAACAAAACAAAACAAAACAAATACGGTAATCCCCAGTGATAGTTGTTTTACACTGAAAATATGCAAAAGAAAAGAATATGGCAGAACCATCAATTAGTATCGTTTGAGATCAAGGTGCATACAATACATTTGCTAAACCATATAGCCTCATCAGCCTCGCTTTGGAAGAATACTTTCCGCCGATGCGCTATTCCTTTCTCTACATGAACTTATAATAGTTTCTTATCCTGCACAACCTCTCGACCCTTACACTGCCCACAACTGTCCTTTTCATCGATTGTTTGATGTGTATCCACTGTCCTGAATGTCAGGTATTTACACAAGCACAACAACGAATTCGATTTCAAGAACTTCACAATCGGAACCAAACACAAGCGCTGTTTCAATTGCAACAAAGAGTCAAATTTACCTGATCCAATGCAATGTAAATATAGTTATTGAATCTGCTGTAACGTGTTGAGACCAGTCTGTCGAATCGAGACCTTCGTGCCTAAATCCTGGCAAGCTGCACAACGATTGGATGCTCCAGTTTTGGAACCATTCCTACACAATTCGAGAAACCGGCCGAATGACTACGAGAGACTCTTATACTTAATGAACTATAAACCCTGAAGTTAAGTCGTCTCATTGAATGAACCCGACTGGAATAAATTTATGCAATTCCAAACCCTGAGACAAACAGTCGAATTGAAATTGTTCCAATTCAAACGGGAATTCTTACCAAAGAGAAGGGAAAGAAGAACAAGAAGAGGAAGAAGACCTACCATATATATTTGGAGCAAATAACATTCCTTGACAAGGACAGCTTCTCTGGATCACTATTGTAAAGGTCTTTTAAAGAAACCTTCAATGAGTGAACTACATCTTCTCCACTCCGCTGTCACCTGCCACTCCTGCCACTAGCACCTGCAACGAGTGAATCTACCTGATCAGGGCAATCTGCTCCAATTTACCTTGTGTGAAATAGCGATCATGAAACGGAATAGGATGAGAGCATTTCAACCCCAGCGCAGGTGCACCTACCTCCAAACGAACTACCGTCATCACCAAAGAACAATTCAAAGATGTCTCATGGATCGTGTCCACCATATCCTCCACTCATCCTCTCCTCATGAGCATCTTCTCCATATTGATCATGTGGCTATGGCTCCTCAGGGTCACTCAAAACTTCGAATGTTTGAGAAAGCTCCTTTAACTTCCAAAAAGACAATTGAGCTATCAAAGATTTCTCCATATATACTTTCGATCGAAATTATTCATTACGCAGGGAAAATTCTTCAATCACATCGTGATGAGAACGCGATTGTGCACATAAACACAACTTTTCATCAATTATGAATATCCAGATGAAAGAAGAGAAATGGGACCATCTTAACAACTGAGCAGAAAAGGAGAACTGAATTGACAGCAAACAGAAACGAATTACTTCAAAATAACCAACGAACCTTCGCAGGGTCTCGACTTGAATCCAGGTAATCTTAATTGCTGTCTTCCTGTATGCCATTTCTTGAGCTAGTCCAGTCATGCATCCTTGAACACCCCGAAAATGCATCATAGCACTTCGTATCATCAATATTCTTCGGCATACGTCCAAATTTTAGCGGCTACATTTTCTCTATGGGATGCAAACGCCACGAGAAAACAGTCGATCTCGTTCCAAACTCACAGCCAGAATCCAGAATCCACGAGGACTCATGCACGACGTTGGAATCCAACCCCGCCTTCTCCTCCAGAACGAACCACTTATTGTCAGAATAATTGGAGCACCTAATGAATCACCTTCCATCACACTACAAACGAATCACACAACAAGAGAGCTGCAGAAGCGATCAAGCGATGGAAAGCCCAGCAATGACGAAGCTATCGAGGCACATCCAGTGTATCAATTCGCCGTCCAGTGAGTCTCAAGGTTCCTTCTTCTGGTACCATTCACCGCGGAAGACGGTTCACCGTGATCACCGCCCATTCATGAATCGGCTTGCGGTCGATGACCGCGGTACTCCCGCTGTCAGTCCTGCTTTGAACTGAAATTAGTTATGGAAGTTCTCTGTGAACGACTTAGTCATTGATATTTTTTAATTTTTAAAAATTAATTGTGGAAGAAAAATGTAGCTACTTAGAAAAGTATTATGTGGGTTCAAGCTAGATTCCAAATAACTTTCAAATCCAAAGCTGCAGATCAATCACTTTTTATAATATATATATATATATATATATATATATGCTAAAAGAGTTTTCATCATTTAAGAGAAAATAAGAATAAACTTGAAGAAGATTGATGTTTTTTTCAATCTCAGAACTATAAATAAATAGATAAGTATATCATATTTAAATTTTAAACCATTATACAGTATGATAGTTTATTCAAAATCTTGTACAATATTTTAGAATCACTGTCTTTCTTTCTATATATATATATATATATGTATGTAGATAAGTTCTATACTATTGGAACTAAGAATTCATTAGAAACTAATATAAATTTTAAAAAAGAAATAAATAAAGATATGGTTGAAAATTCAAACAATAAATCTTTAAAAATAATACTTAGAAATTTTATTTTGGTATTGTGATATTTTGATTTTTAGAGCACATCCAAACTTTAATTTTCTTATTTAGTTTTTTAAGTCATAAATCTAAAATATTGCAACCATCAAGAATTTTTATTGACTAAATATTAGCAAGTAACTAACTAACTAACTAACTAACTATATATATATACATGCTACATAATTATAAAATTAAAATCAATATTTGATTAAAATTTGCAATATAATGTATAAATTTTAATTTTTAATACTTTATTTTTCTTCATCAAAGTTAAATTAAAGATGATGCATATATAGAAGTCCTAGAATCACTCTATTCTATGACATGTGCATATCTAACGACATATTTTTTTTTATTATCAGTTATAATTTATGATGATTTATAATTCTATCAAAAAAATTCATAATTATATGTTTTAACAGAATAACATGTAGAATATATTCTTAGTATTATTATTCATTTCTAGTCAGCTCTTAAGGTATATCTATAAAAACAGAACCATTTTATAAATCCATAAGCATAAAAAACTTTATTATAAAAAATAAAAAATAAAAATACAATAAAATCTAGAAAGTACCCATAATACTTAGTGGACTTCCAAGATTCATTGAAAGAAAAATACATTAATATAAATACACTATAATCTTGCATCTACTGCATGCAAATCTATATCTAAAAAACATATTTATCAAAATTGATGAATATTTAAAGTATTTTCTTATTCCATAATCTTCACAATTAACTACACATTAATCTTGAATTTTTTATTGACTTAGTTTAAGAATATACTTTCAAAAATTCCATATGTTATGTATATATATTTTATTTACATAGGAAAAAAATTATATATTATTAAAATAAACACATAATTCTAAATCAGTATATAATTTAATTTTTTAAATAAATATTCTTATTTTTTTATTCTAATACATTAATAAAGATACTTATGAGTTTTAATATACAAAAAAAAAAAAAAAAAAAAAAACAACAACAACAACAACAACAACAACAAAAACAAAAAAAATAAAAAATAAAAAAAAATGGTTAAATACATGTGTATATAAATTCTTAAGTTATTCTTTGTTCTTTTGTAAATATTGCTTGTCTTTTCTTTTTATTTTTAATGTGTAAAATTTATTTCAAAATTTCCTCTATTTATTTTCAAAAACATTTATTTTTACTAACTTGTAAAAAATATTTTAATTACACATAATAAAAGGTACAAGTTTTTATAATTACAAATTATAAATTATTATTATAACAGATAAAGAAATGACAAAAGTCTTAAGTTAATAATAATAATAATAATAATAATAAAGACAAGGAAGTGTTGATGAGATTAAGGACAGGTTTGCTCTTATTTTTATATATGTCAATAAATAAAATAAAATAAAATGAAAACATCTAAAAACTTTCTAAAACTACACATTTATTACAACAAGAGTATAAACTTTAAGATGCTTATATTGTAGTACCATAGGTCTAAAAAACCAGAAACATCACAGTTATTATTTTTAAATATCTAACCTCTATTTGTTAGAGCAAGGGTTATATTTTTTCAAAAACATGTAAAAGAGATTTCATTCTCATTTATACGAAAATAAATATACTATACATACAAATGCACAATTGTTTTTGAAGAAAAATCCACAATTACTATCAGGTATGATCTATAGCTATTTTAAAACAAACTAACCACTTTTAAAGCACAACATAAAAAAATAAAATAAATAAAATAAAGTAAAAATTACAAAACCATTTGCTTAATACTTATGTTTTTCAAAGGTGATAATTTTCTTTAAAATAAAATAGAATATTATAGATTCAATGAATGGATTTTTATTAATTTGTATGCATTATCTCTGGTAATAAAGTCTTTTAAATAATTAAAGTAAGTCGTGATCTATATTAAGACATATCTACAAACGACACATAATGCAGTGTTCATTATATATATATATATATATATATAAGAGTTTTAAAGAAAAACTTGTATGTGTTGCAATTTTAAAGAAAAAATTCATTTTACACTCATTTATATTTTGGTTGTATTAAAATTATTAATGTAAATTATTTTTCGTGATATATAAAATATTGGTTCGTTTTAGTTTATTTAAATAATGTATTCGGACATTCTAAAAATACAAAATAATATAAACATGTTTATTTGTTGCATTTCTAAATTTTCTAGATAGTTTACATATAAAATACTCTAAAAAATAAGATTATTTACTAGAATGAATAAATGCACATCTTATATAATCTAATTTAAATTTTGTGATAAGTTTTTTGAATAATGGTTTATAGAATAAATCATTCTTTACTTTTACTATTTTTTTTTTTAAAATAAGAAATGTGTCATATGTTAAAACAGTTACATAATCAGCAAGAATGTAAAATAGAAAGACAAAAATTATGTAAAATTTCATAAATTGAAAGAGGTTCATCTACAACCTTCAAAGAACTTTGATGTTTTTTTAAAAAATAGTCACTTTATAATTTTTCAAAAAAGATCAATCTCTAATACTGTATGTACATAGACATGATAGAAAATAGTTTACACATATGTAACTTTTTATATATAATAATAACAATAATAATAAAGTATTTTTGAGATAAAAGAAAAAAAATGACTATTTTATATATAAACCATCTAGACAATTTTATGTAAAGAATAGAATACAAGAAATGTGTTGATAAAATTAAAATTGTTTTAGTTTTGCTCTCTCTATATATGTATGTGTATATATATATATATATATATATATATATTAATTAAGGTGAAAAAGATTATTTAAAAGATTCTTTAAAAAACAAGACTTGTAGAATGAGTGTATAACTTGTACAACAATTTTAGAGTAATTTTATTCATGTGTAATATCTTTATTTATTTTATTCTTATTTTTTTATAACTACATGACAATGTAAAAAATGTTTTTAATTTCATTTTCTCGATAATAAATGATATGAATTTCTAAATTATAGTATAAATATTAAAAAAAGACATTTAAGTTTATTATTAAAAATTAATTTTAGTTGATTAATTATTTATGTAATGAATAAATAATACAACACATGTTCTTCAAATATTTTTGTAATTATATATTAATAATAAATTAATATTTTTTTGAAAATTTTTATGATAGTCGGAATCAAAATTTGCAGTAAAATGGTTTTTGTCTCCTATAGTTTATCCCATTAGTTTATCGCATGAGCTGTTTTATATCAAAGATATTCATATCTAAAATTACATCAATTAATTCAAAAAGTTTATTTATTAAATAAACTATCGAGTAAAATGAAAATTGTTCAAACTACACTTAAAACATGGTAGTATACAAATTCAGTAATAAGTTATTCTGGGTAAGAAGTAACGGAACTCTCATGAAACCCAATCAAACAATACTTTGTGCACTGAATGTTGCTAGGATAACACTAGGCCATTGTTGCGCACATTGATCTCTCATTCTTAGCGGATATACTCCTAAGCTGGGCGAACTGAACGGAGGAGGATTGTTTGTTCGTCGAAGCAACTCCTCGTCGTCAAATCTCACTCAGCTCCGTCCACCCTCCAACTCATCGCCATCTGGCAACGTTTACGGTCACCTTTGGCTACCTTAAATGCCGGGACACCGTTGGGTCTACCTGGGTGGGCCAGCAAGCGCGACCCGTCCTGCGATCTAAGCGTTGTCTAAGGGGCTTGCCAGCAGGACCGGTTAGGAGATCGAATCCCTAGGAGGGGAAGGCCCGAGCTTCCCATCGATCTTGCGTATCTGGCAGGAGCGCGGAAGGGATGCGGAAGGGGGGCTTTTATTGAGAGAACAATTGGTCCGATAATTGAAGGAAGGGGAGGTTTGCCCGTCCTCGCTGCTTCCCCAGGTGTTTTTGCGTTGCGGAGCTCTTGGAGCTCGCACCCGCATAGCCAGGCAGGCAGGGAGCTACGATAACCTACGCTAACCTCGGTCGCCAGCCGCGTTTGGAAACGGTCTCGCGGAGGATCCTTGGCCGGCGAGTTCTGAGTCCTTGAAAGGAGCGGCAGCGAAAGAAAGGGCAGAACACGAGCCAGAGGAATGCGAAGTGCATGGTGCGGCACCGTGATTGGTTTGGAAGGCCAGCGGGATTTGAGTTTCCAGAGTTTCCAGTAGCGGTATGGTGGTGCTGGTGCAGATCGAAGAGCGGTAGGGTGGAAACACCGTGGCGGGTTGCCATCGTTGGAAGCGGTTTTTTGATTGGGAACCTTAGGTAGGCCCTCGGGAATGGCGTCGCAACAGAGTATCCGGAAAGCTCTGGGTGCGATCAAGGATTCCACGAAAGTCGGTCTCGCGAAAGTTAACAGCACGTACAAGGTATGTGGTGCTTTAGCGTTTTCTGGGCTTGTGGCACAGTGGGTGCAGACCGTGTAGGGAGTTGCGCGGGTTGTAGTTTCCGGGGCACTCATACGGGTCTAGATGAGACCAGAATTCGAGTAGTTAGAGAACGATCCCGTAGTGCCGAGGTCCCCACATCGCACTATATAACGTAGTCTGTTAAGTAGGATCTATCTGGAGACACGTGGAAAAATTGATTTAGGATTGCAGAAACGTAAAACATGGTGTGGATATCATGTTACCGACCTATTCTCGGGGACTCACTACCAAATCCAAGGTCATCTCGGGTGATATGTTGGATAAAAATATCGCATGCCTCATCAGCAGAAATTGTTATGCTTTGCTGTAGATTAGATAGTCAATCTGTATGAAATCAATGTTCGAAAGCGACAAGATCCTTCACAACGACGCTGGAATTCTGCACAAGATAATGAATTGTATCGACGGGGATTACGAGAAATGTTATCTTAAACATCCCCCTGCCCTAGAGGAATTCGGAAGCTAGGGTGTATTGGGATCGGGAATAAGCAGGTGGCTTTCTGACTCCTTGAATTGGTCGGCATCTGCAGGAACTCGACATCGCAGTGGTGAAGGCAACGAATCATGTGGAGTGTCCCCCTAAGGAGAAGCATGTTCGGAGTGAGTTTCTTTCGTATTGGTTTTGGACATGCATGTATGCAGTTTACGACTAGATCTGATAAGCGATTTCAATGGGATAAATGGTAATTTGAGATTGTAATCGTCGTCATTGTGTGTTGCAAGCAGTGATCTTCCTGGCTACTTCTGCATCAAGGCTTCGTGCAGATGTGGCATACTGCATTCATGCTCTTGCGAGGCGAATTGCCAAGACTCACAATTGGACGGTAAAGTGCCATTCTGCCAGAGAGAATCCGATAGTAGAATGTCATTTGCTGGCATTTCCAAATACCGAGTTGCCGGATCAACTTGCCGAGTATTTGTGTTGGTGAAAGTGCATTGTAGAATAATGCATAGCGAGATGAGAGGATCATGGTGCTGTCGAACAGGAGGCAAGAAGTAATGGAATGCGGGTTAGACACCGTTTGATGGGTCATTAGACGCTTATGTTGACCTACAGGTATCCGAGTTGGTTGGGAATTAGTGGAAGAGTAATTCTCTTCGAATGACAACTTCACGTGTTGCTCCTTTTTTTGGAGTGATTCGAGCAACCTTACATCGGGTTTGCTCGGGGGCCTGGGCGGAGGTTGTGGAATTTTTCGTTAGAAGACCTGTTTTTGTGAAGATCGTCAGAAACGTCGTGTTGTGTGCGTGAATGAAATGGGGAATCCGAACTCGGATTTAAGAGGGAATCGACACACTTGGATGAATGGTCTAGGACGCTGATTCCCAGCCTCGGTTGTAGGACGACTCTCTGCCATGGGTGTGCTCCGAGCTCTTGTGTGGTATGTTTGGTAAATATGCAGTGGGAGGGATTTTCGTCCCTCGAACGTGAAATGATTTGTTCGCTGAATGGACGTCTCCGGTATGTGCAGGTCGCACTGAAGTCGATGATGGTTATCCATCGGACGTTAAGGGAAGGGGATCCGACGTTTCGTGAAGAGCTGATTAATTATGGGCGGAACAGGGGCCACATCCTGAACCTCTCGAATTTTAAGGACGACTCAAGCCCTCATGGTAGTATTGTTACTACTATGTTTCGAGTACGAGCAGCGGGCTATTGAGCGACCTAGGATTGCGTTCCTCGTGGCTTATCTACTCTGTTGAGTGGACCACGGAAGCCCATGTTTATTTCGTGTTAGTTATAATAGGCGTAAATTTGAGGAGGTGCTGGATGGCATTCCTTGTTTAACTCGACGGCTTGTTGTGTGTGATCGTACCTGCAGCTTGGGACTACTCAGCATGGGTGCGCACGTATGCATTGTTTCTTGAGGAGCGTCTGGAATGTTTTCGCGTTCTGAAGTACGATGTTGAGTCTGAGCGCCCAACTGTAAGCTTCTGAAATGCACAGACATCAGAGAATGAGCAAGTTCATGATAACGTCGTGATGGGGTCGGGATATTTGTGTTGGCGCTTCGAAAAGCTCCATTCCGTGTTCCTTTGATTAGGGTTTCTTCTGTTCGTGACAGGGACATAGTAGGACAAGAGAGTTGGACACCGTGGAATTGTTGGAGCATTTACCTGCTCTACAGCAGCTCCTGTTCCGACTGATGGGTTGTCAGGTGAGTAGGGTTTTTGGAGTTGATGCAATACGATAATTGGATTGTGACAAGACTGCTGGATTTAGGTGTGTGGCTTTGGATCAAGCTTTAAGGGAGTGTGGATATTGGATCTTCGCGGAGATAAGTCATGTAGGTGTTGAGCGCTGCTGGATTGGGTGCCATGGGTGTGTGGTTTGTGAACATAATTTGTGGTGTGGTGGTGTGTATGCAGCCTGAAGGAGCAGCAATCAGCAACTACGTAATCCAGGCTGCTCTGGGTCTGGTGAGTAGATGGTTTCGGTTTTCATTTTCATACAGCTGAAGATGGTGGCGAATGTTTCTTGCATGCGACTGATTTACATGCGCAGTCTGGGCGAGAATTAAAACTGATTCAATTAGTGCGGTGGGGTTCAGGTGTTGAAGGAGAGTTTTAAGTTGTATCGTGCAATCAACGACGGAATCATCAATCTGGTGGACAAGGTGAGTGCTCTCTAATGTGTCGTTTGAGCGGGTGTAGAGGTGAGGGATGTTTGAGGCAGGGTTGATTGTGATACTTGGCGCGTGTGGATGTGCAGTTTTTCGAAATGCAGCGACATGATGCTGTCAAAGCACTGGAGATTTACAAGAGAGCTGGACAACAGGTAAGTTGAGAGCATTTATGACATTTGGTGGGTGTTGACGTAGAGTGTTGCACATGATGATATGCCAATGCGCGACATGTTTAGGACACTTGAGATATGGGAAGTAACATGCAAGCAGTCGTTGGACGCGCACTCCAACGTGAAATGTGAGGGTTGAGGTGTATTCATACTCTGATTATGATGCAGGCCGAAAGACTGTCAGATTTCTACGAGGTTTGCAAGGGATTGGATCTTGCCCGCAGCTTTCAGTTCCCTACTCTGGAGCAGGTATATTGCATGAGATTGCCGTTTGTGATGGATGCGGACATGGACGTTTCTTTGTTGCACAAGTTTCTAGGCGATTGAGTTGTTCATTGTCTATTCCGTCGAGTAACGAATAAGATATCACGTGCACGGTATTGCGTCAATAATGGCGTTGGTTGTGCGTTGTCTGTGATGCAGCCTCCTCAGTCTTTCCTGACAACGATGGAGGATTATGTGAAAGAAGCTCCTCGTGCAGGAGCAACGTTGATGTTGAAGAATGAGCCAGTATGTGACGCTGGGAGGGATGTGATTAAACGTTATAGTTTGTAATTTGTTTTGGCCGTACAGTTGGATGGCTGTTGGGTTGACGCGTGAGTTTTGATTTCAGTGTTGAGTCGTTTGGATCAATGTTTGCCGGAATGGGTGTTCGTGGGTCATGGTAGGAAGCTTGCCATACCCAACCATGCATGAATTGACTGAGTGGTGGCGAGTGGAACAGGAATATGGAGAGAGGAGTCCACCCCGTGCATTAGAAGAACCTGCGCCTCCCAGTTACAAGGAAGAAGATTACGAGGAGGAGCCAAAGGCTTCGGTTCCCGTTCCCGAGAAGGAGCCAGAGCCAGCTCCTGAGCCGGCCGTGGTGGAACCAATGGGGAATCTTTTGGTAAGGATGATGCCGTTGACGAAATAAAAGGATGTGTGTCGAGTCGGTTGATGCGGAGTTGTTTGGAATGTGATAAGCCCTGGGCAGTATTGATTGCAAGTTATCGTGGTTTGTCGATTGCGATTGGTCAGCGTGTGGTTATTGTGGACGGTTTACTGCTTCGAAATATTTGGTTTGGAGGAGTCCAGATAAACGTCGCCGTGCGTGCGAGCGGGTTTCGCACGACGCGAAGGACAATGTGGGCCTTTTGGTGGAATAGATAACTGATCGTGTCGTTGGCGTGTCGGGAATTGATTTGAAGGACTTGGATTCGGATTTACCGAATGCTTCAGCTTTGGAAGAGGCGAATGCTCTGGCTTTGGCAATTATTCCAGATGGTAAGTTTCCTCTTGTGAGAGCAGTTGAGTGAAGGGTAGAAGATGAGGGTCGGTAGGGAGCGTGTTGCGTTGCTCCTTGACAAAGAACTCGGATTTAAAGTGACGACAGATAGTCTGTTTGATGGGTGTGCAGTTTTCACAAATTGTGCTTCATGGGCGTTTGACGCACCTTTGAGGGACTTCCGTTGGAGTTATGATTTGTTGTTAGCTTTCGCGGCTTGATGTCTTTAGCAGTTTGCTGTGCGTCGTGTTCGGGTTAGTGGTCCTTGTACCTTGGTTTGTAATTTGATCCAAAAATTGAATGGTCATCTGTGTAGGTCAAAGTGCAAACGGAAATGCTGGGCCCACTTTCGATGTAAACGACCCTGCTGGTTGGGAGCTCGCGCTGGTGACGAACCCTACAGACAGCGCGACTGCTGCCACGAAGCACAACAACCTGGTGAGCAGCGAAGGCTTGTTTGCGTAGAAAGAGATGATGATATGAAGCATTTGAAGCCAATCGTGTTTGAATGAATAACGCATGGGAGTGGTTGTGGTGTGATATGGCGGGGATTATTGGATTATTTGTGTTGGTAGCGCCACACTGGGTCTGCCTGCGTATGATGGTTGTTATGACGAGCGTATAGCTGACAGTGGAAGCTGTTGGAATTGCGTGAACAGGCTGGTGGGTTTGATAAGTTGACGCTGGACAGCCTATACGACGATGCGCTGCATAAGCGCGGGGCGAACGGAGCAGTTCCAAACAGTTACAACATGGGAATGAACGGCTCGGGTCCCAACCCGTTTCAGGGACCAGGAATGCCACCGCAACACATGGACCCGTTCATGGCCTCTGGACAGTATGCACCTACGACCAACGTGCAAATGCAGATGATGCAGCAACAGCAAGCTATGATGATGCAGCAACAACAGCAGCAGGTGATGGGGATGGGGGCAGGCACTCCAATTCCTTTTGGAAATGCTAATCCGTTTGGAGGACCTGTAGGTGGTACATACCCTTACGGGGCTCCTCAGCCTGCACCCGTGCCTGGCCAACTGGCTCTGCCTGCACCACCTCCTGCGTATAGCAATCCATTTGGGAACCCTGGGTTACTGTGAAGTATTGTGTTAGTCACGGGGGATTCAGCTGTGATGGCCTACGCAAGATTGCAACTCCCGGAACCATCGGTTTTTGATTGTGGCAGTGCACAGTCATATTGATGTAGGCGATTGACAAACTGGTAACGAAAAATTTTCATTTATCTGGCTCGTCGGATGAGTCATATTAGAGACACAGGAATGTTCTATAGCTGAGGAGTTTTGTATAGGTGGTACATTTTCACACGTATTGTGTGTGGAGAGAGCGAGAGAAGTTAGCATCATTGCAAGACTGGAGGAGAGTTCGCTGTGGAACGGTGCCAATTCTGGTGCCATTGTGAGTCCATCACAGTCGACTATAGTCGAATGTGGTCATTTATTTTCATGTGTTAGTGGTTCAAGCTCAGGTTTGGGAGACTTGTATTATAAGTCAATTCAGTCCTAAGAAATAGTCCTTTGAATTCCAGTTCTTGATATTCTCTACATTATTAGTTATTTATTCCAGTTTTATGCCAAAGTGGGTTATCATTTATTTAACGTTTTTATAAGCCAAAGCGCTGAAGTGCCTGATTGCGATTCGTTGGAGACAATAGGGTTGGGAATTTGTGTTCAGTTTTAATTATATTTAGTCAGAGCTCGTGAGTTGCCCAGACTGGATGCTTTTAGTCAGGTGGTGATGTTTTATCTGATGTAATGGAGCTCTTTAGATTCCGATCCCATTTGACAAGATTCAAACTTTTGTTATTACGTTTTTTGTTTCACTAATAATAGGAATTATTATCTTCATTGTCTTACACGATTAAAATATTTATGTATTATCTACAATTTTCAGTGATTTGTCATACGAAAAAAAACGAACCTCATTTATCAAATGGTTCAGGGATAAGGGTTTAAATACTTTGTGCACTCTGAGGACACAACTTGTGATCTCACAACTTATGCTATTTCCATCCAAACTTGTGTTCCACCACATGCCATCATTGTTTTTGCTAATGCCATCACAAGTTATCATAAGTTAAACATGAGTTGCACACTATGATGCACTTTTTTCAACCACTAGTGTTGTTACCAAAAGTTGATTGTACCAGCTTGTGACTCTTAATTACTTTTGTTGGTTGCAATTTATACACAATGTTGTGTACTGATCACCTACAATAGGGATACATGAAAAGAGTGACAATAGCAACATTTGAGAGAATTGTAACACATCATCAGAAACAAAGGCATTGTGTTAATTGCTATGAAGAGTAATTAAGAATTAGATGTTGGTACAATTAGAAAAAAGTCATTTTGGTGTGCAATATAGATTTAGAGCAGCTTGAAGTGGCAATAGCAAAAATTATGATGGCATGTGGTAGATGGTAAGTTGTGGTGGCAATAACAAAAATTGTACTAGTATTATAAATATATAAAAATATAAAAATTTATAAATATATGTAAATATATAAATATAAGTATTATAAGTATATAAATATAAGTATTATAAATATAAACATATATATATGTATATATATTTATGAGATTTATATTATTTTTTTATCTTTACAATTAAAAATCATAATTAAATTTGATTAATATATCATATTTTCTATATTATTCTATCAAAATTCTTCAAGTTATATATAATAACATTTCTTTTGTAATTAACATTTTCTAGGTTTAGAATACTTCTAAAAATTTACTATACTAAAATAATATAAATTAGAATAAAAAAGAACATCTAATTGATACTTATTCTTTTTTATAATTTGGAACTAAATTTTTATATATAATTCATGCATATAATTTAATTATAGAAATCTATCATGATAACTTACTATGTTAAGATATTATTTAACATATTCCATTGCTAAAAAAAATATCTAAATACATCAAAAATATGTTTTTTAAATTCAAAGCATGGTTTTTAAAAACCAATAAATTTTATGTTTTGTCATTATAAATTAATTTCTCTCTTCTATTTTACATAAATTTTTCACAAATCATGCATAGAATACAATGATTTTTGTCTACTTTTTCATATGTATGCACATATTTTTCTAACATAATATTTTAACTAAACATAAATTCAAATATCTTCTGGTAATAACCTAAAGGTACATGATACTGTTTTGATATATATTTGTTTGGATATATATATATATATATATATATATATATTATTTCCTAATATAATACTATCTTAAATTTGTTTTACATGTACAATAAAAAATATTTGTATTTGTATATAAGCAATAATACAACTTATATTGCTTAAGGTTCCTATGGATTTAATAGTACAAAAAGTGAATTATAAGTAGGTCTAATAAATGTTACTTGATACTTGTAAAAACTATATAATGAGAGATATTTAATTTTTAATTTTTGTGGATTATATTTGAATATAACTCTATATGTATATTTATATCTTATTAAAATATTGTATTAGAAAAATATGTGCATAAATATCAAAATGTATTTTTTGTTATAAATAAATAATGTCTTGTCTACTATAAATAGAATAATTTTATTTATACATAAATATAAATATGTCTTGTTTGTTACAATTAAGTTCATACACATAATGCAAAGTTAAACATATAATTATACATGATTTGATAAGCTTTTTAGTGATTTATAATTCATATTGACATAAAATACTTCATATTCCAGTAGTTAGTGCAAATTGTAACTAGATTGAAATCATTTTTATTACATATATCTATATATATATATATATATATAAAATTAAAATAAATCTTTGACTATAAATATTAAAATAAATTTTAATTACCAAAAATAATTTGATAGAAATTAAATAAGATAAAAACAAACATTCAATTCCATTTTTTATAAAATCATGTAATGAAAAAGTTGATGCATCATAAATAAAATGAAATATTTGATACATTCAAAAACACTTCAAAAAATCTATTATTGATACTTTATTAAATTTTATTTTTCAAATAGTATTTTTGCTATACTCTAGTATATTTTTAATATATTTTACTTATTTTATATATGTTAATTACATACATAAATAGAGATTAATAAGTATATAAGTTTTTTAAAACAAGGTTTAGGAATTCATAAAAAAATTGATTGTCTTAAATGGTTTTGAATTCAATCTAATCTGTAATTATTGATATTTCTATTTTGAGTAAATTTTAAATATCATACAAATTTATTAAATTATATTATTTAAGAGAGATATATATATATATATATATATATATATATATATATTTATCATGCTTTTTAATGTTTATTTTTTTTAATAAACTAGATAAGATGCTTTTCAGATAGTAATAGAAATATTCTTATAGTTTTAGAAAAATATTTCTAAATTTTTACAAAAATTAAAAAGTAAATATCAAGTATTGTAAAGAAATGTGAGCATTTATAAGTTTAAAACTCTTGAAGTTATATTGAAAATGTCTATACTTAATTTTAAATATCTATCTATCTATATATCTATATATACATATTTTTTTGTCTTTTCTAAGCTATTTTTTATATTGCAAGTTGTCAAAATATGTCCTTACACAAAAAATATAAATAATTTTATCTAATTTTTTTTATTATGATTACCATCATTCTATCATAAAAATAGAAAGTAAAAAATAATACTAAGTTTTACTTTACATGCATCTTATCTATGACACCTAAGAATCCAATTAACGAATGAGTTTTTTTCAAAATACATTGGTAGCACTCTATTTTCTAAAATTCATTTTTTTATACATAGATACAAAAAAATTACTTTCATAAGTTTTATTTTTATTTAAGATGACATTTCAAATATGCACATACATATAGTTCTTTGTTCTTTGTACTCAACTTTAAAATTGCTGAATTCTTGTGCATAAGATAATTTAAAAATCTTTTGGATCTTTTTGCAAAATATCTATAGTAGAAGAAAAAATTTAGGCATTTTAAAAATGGTTAGAATGTCTAGATTATGATTATCCAAACAATCAATGAACACATACTATATTATAAATACATAAACTTAGCTAATTAAAATTTTAAATTTAACTATACAAAATTAAGCTTTTTGAATAAAAGTTATAAAATAATTCTTTGATATTGTTATTAAATTTAGTAATAGTTTTAAAGAAGTATTTATGTATGAATATATATATATATATATATATATATATATATATATATTAGTGCATCATTATAAATATTATAATAGCAAATCTTTTATTAAATCCATAGGAATTTTAAGCAATCTAAATTTTTATTTAAAAAAACATTATTAGCTCTTATATACACATTATTTTGTGAAATAATAAATTAAAAGAGAAATTTGAAATTATAAATTTTTAATGCATAAAAAATAGCCATAAATTACATCTTTTATTTTAAATTAAATAAATATTTCATGAACAATATCATCATCAATTTTTTTTCAAAAATTATCTATCTAATTTATAATTAATCTAATAAATTTCTTAATTTAATATAAAATATATTTAAATACCTTTAATATGAAATAAACTCATTTAAAATAAAAATCTAAATATTTAAATTTATAAATTATAGAATTTTAATTTTAATTTTAATTTTTTTTACAAATATTTTAATTTTTTTGTTATGATATAAATGTTTAAACATATTTGCATATAAAATATGAATAAAATAAGAATAAATATTATACTTTATTTTATTATTAGTTTAAATAACTTGAAATGATATAATCTATCACAATTAAGTTTTTATGTCCATTCAAATTTTAAGATGCTAATAAAAAATAGATGACATGATAGTAATTAACTTTAAATCTAAAATTTTCATATTTTAATATATATATTATCTTATTTTTTATTTTTATGTTTTTGGAATTGGAAATAATAAAAGAAATACTGAGTTATTAAATGAAAAAAACCTTACATTAAATATAACCAAAATAAGACTAAGACTTAGAAAAATATTATATATATATATATATATATATATATATATATATATATATATATATATTATAAATTATGTAGAATAATTATTTAAAGGTACACTTAGTTGAGAACCTTTAAATCTATCTTAATTTGAATGAAATTTTTAATAAAATAATCTAAAACATGATCAAATCATTAATTCTTAATATTTTTAGCATTTAAATTTTTTGTTAATATAATTATTAAAAGAAAGCCATAATTATTGTCCTTTGATTTTATTTCTATCCAAAAGAATCCTATTAGAAAACTAAAAATAAAATTTTTACAACATATTCTTATTATCTTGGATGCTATAAAATGTAGAAGTCAATTGGATGAACTATTAGATATTGATTTATTTATCAATAATGATGGTAGTAAATTGATTGCAACTAATTGCACTTGGAGGTCGTTAGAATAATATGTTCTAGTATATGATAGAGTAGAAATGAAAATCCTTGATAAAATATAAGCTATAGAATTATCTTCTATACATGCCTTTATAACCACTGAACCTTGTTTATCATATTTAAAAGATGTGGCTGAGAAGATTGTTAATGCTTGAGGTAGACTCTTATTAAGTTTGGAAGTTATTGGCACTTACTTGCATAGAAAAAATGACTAAGAATATG